GAACAGCTAATGGCAGGGCTACTTGAAGTCAGCGTCACCACCTTTCCCAGCTCTTTCTGCCTGGGCGGTGAGTTCATCTCACATAATGTCTGCTTTACCCCCGGTGAGGCAAAGGCCATTTGCAAACTCATCTGAAGCGCTCTCAGGCCTTCTGTGAATAATCTGCCGGAGGGTCAGCTGGTGCTGTGGAATCTGAAGACGGGTTAGTTAGCCACTTGGGAGATGTTACCAAGATGGCTGGTGATCAGAAGAGCTGCTTATTTTCATAATGACCTTCAGGAATTAAATAAAAATACAATGAGTGCCATAGATTAGGAAGAACAAGCCAATTAAAACCGCAACACGCCTCTGGGATTTTTTATTTCTTTTCCAGGAGGCTGAAAGCTATCTGTGGCTGCTGAGGCAGGATAGAGGTCTTCCCAGAATCACTGATGAAGGCTGATCCTCTTGCTTGGCTTTAGCGGGCAGTGGAGGGGATTTGAGCCTATTGAATATTTCACGAGTTGCAGCCCAATTGGGGAGAACAGGGAAAGGTGAAAGGCAATTCCTGTGTTTCTTTATGATTCCAATATAAAACTAAGCTCTTTGGGGTGGGAGGGAGGCAAGCACTGGAGCCAGTCTACTGCCGGAAGGCATGGCGCACCAATTCTCCCACTTTAATATCTGCTGTTTCATTTTATATTCATCATGTCAGCATAATCTGCCTTTATGGGAATCATCTTGGTTTCCGACCAAATGCGTTTAGTCCCCCTTTTGCTTTAAGTTTGATTGTAATGTGACTTGAAGACTTCAATGAAATGTTTATATGGAGGGACTAGGGGAAGAGAAAGGGGAAAATGCATTTGGAAAATCAATCAGCAGGGAATTTCAAGAACTAGCCTTGGTTATGCTACTATTTCTTCGACCTGTTTTTTAATGGACACAGAACCAGTTCTCGGATCAAGTCTACCCCACCAATACCCTACTACATGCTGAATAAAGTTTACTCTGTTGCCAAACATTCAGAGCCCTTAACTCAGGGTCTGAACTACATTTGCAACCTGATGTTCCGCTGCACTCCCACTTGTACTGTGGCTTCACTGCCCTGAGATACCCAGCCACCCAGCCCATCTCTTGCGTCTTTCTGTCCTCTCAGGGATAATGAGATGTCCAACCTCGGCAATGCTCATTTCCCATGTTTTTGGAGTTGTTCTTGATCTCGAAGCTAGGAGAGTCCTGTCCCACTTTCAAGTTCCCAATAGACCTTTGCTTTTTCTTTAATTCCCTAGCAAGCCTTAACAGTACCCTCATCATCTTCTTATGAATATGTGTAAGTACATGTGTGTATGAGCGCGTATGTGTATGTATGTGTATTCATCAGCAGCGACTCAGTGATTTTTTTATTGAGCACTTATATGTGCCGAAGGACTTGCGATGTGGCAGGAGATAAGACATACGAGGTCCCTAGAGAGACAGGCGTTAAACACATGCTCAAGAAAATACACGAGGCAAATTTCTAATAGTGATAAGTCCCATAGAAAGTGTTTGTAAAGGTGACACGGTAAAGAATGGACGTGTGTGGAGAGGAGCACTTTATTTTTATTTTTACTTATGTATTTTTTATTGAGGTACCATCAGTTACAATGTGTCAGTTGCTGGGGTACAGCACAATGTTCCAGTCATGCATTTACACATGTATTCGTGGAGGAGCACTTTAGATCAGAGTGGCACAGCCTCTCTGAGCAGGTGTTGATCAGATTGAGAGACAAAGGCTGAGAAGAAGCCAGCTTGCAAGCTTTGGGTGGAGAGTTCCAGAGAGACTGGACAGAAAGTCCCTGTGTGCTGAGACAAGCGAAAGTCTGGCCTGTGTGAGGAACAGTTGTGAGCCCCACAGAGCTGGGGCACACGATGCGGGGATGATGTAGGAGGTGGGTCAGGAAAGTGCACAGTGTCCTGCGTCACATTAAATGGAGAGTGTGCACATGTGTGGGCAGTTACGTGGGGCAGGAGTAGAATTTCTGCTATTCAAGGACCATGAGCTCCCTGAAGGCAAAGCTCCATATTCCAGGCTGCTAAGCTACCTGCCATTGACTAGGTCCTCAGTGTGTTGAATGACTGAACAAAGAATAAATGAATGAATGACCAACACCTGCTTCCACTAAGGCGATTTTCCCTGTGCGGTTTTGTGCCCCTTCTCCCCTCCCTGACAACGTTTTTCTTTCTTTGTAATAGAGTAAGTCCAGTGCTGCTCTCTGTGATTCAATGTTTACTGTGTTTCACACACTGTTATTATCATTTAACGTTTACTGTCTGCTGACGGTGCACTCATCGCCGTAGCAAACAGATCTCAGTCTAGTTTTGGTCCATGGGCTAATTTAGTCAAGGAAAAGGAGATGTGAGAGCAACTGGACTAGTAGAAATTATGTGGACTGGAAATCCACTGGGTCCAGCTGGGTACCAATTCACCAGTGACCTCAAGCAAGTGACTGACCCTCCATGACCCTCTTTTCTAATCTGAATATGGGATGGCAAGCTTCTTTAATGGGGGGATTTCAGGCACGGGCTTGGAGAGTCCAGGAGTAAGGGGTGCAGATTTCAGCAGGCATTTCTCTGCTTACTCTGCCTCATTCTATGCCAGGCTGTGTGCGCCAGACGTGGCCTGGCTTGGGGCTCTCTGCTGGTGCCACCCCAGGGATTCTTAGCACAGTAAGTGGCTGCCCAGTAGGCAACACACAGATCCTCTTTCTTGAGCTGCTTAATGAGAAACAACCATTTCCAGAGGCAAATCCCAGCCCTGGGTTCCCTGGACATCTGGTTCTGGCTTTGATGCACTGAGAGAAAAATGAGCAAGGTACCGAGCAAGGCCATTTACCATAATGTCTTCACGTTGCCTTGGCCCAGCTGGCCGGCTGCCAGAGGAGTCGCCGCCAAGTCTTGGGATGCTGAGGCTGGGAGGTGGGGCGGTTAGGGCAGAGAAGATGCTGGGGAGAGACCTGCTTCAGGGACTGGGCATTTGGCCAGTCTCCTCCCCAAGGCCTCACAGTGAGCTCTGGGGGTCCTTTAGGGCCTATGTTTTAGGAGCCAGTGCACTCCTGTGATGATCCCAGCCCCCCTCAACTCTTACCGTAGCAAGAGAAATCCAAGGAGGTTTCCACTTGGACCAATAACTTACTATGTTCCAGCCACTACATTTTTGCCTTGGAATGAGGTGGGAGGCTGTTGGTTTAGAGCAGAGGAGTGACATGCATGGGCTGATGCCATGGCAGGATTCCTTGGCTTCTGGTTGAGAACAGACAGAAGAGGCAAGGGTGGAAGAGAAGAGTCGAGTGAAGAAGCCCTTGCAGTAAGCTGGGAGGAGAGGGAGACACGGCGTCTTCACCCAGGTGGTTACAATGGAGGAGCTGAGAAGAGCTGTGTTTCAGGCGGCTGTTGAAGGATTTTCTGATGGACTGGATGAGGAGTGGGAGAGAAAGCAAGCAATCAAGAATGTCTCAAGGTGTTTTTCAGAGCAGCTGAAGGATGAATTAGATCCTGTCCCTATTAATAATATTAGTGATAATAAATATTAATAGCTAACTTTTTATAGCACTTATTAAGTGCCAGATGCTCTTCCCCTAAGGACTTTTGATTGTGAACTTGAAGGAGTTAGAATCTATTGGGAATGGACGATGTAAGAATAATTCAGTAGAATTTAGCAAGCTAATGTCATCTTCTCATCTCTTCAAGGTGCCTTTTCACTCGGTGTCACCAGGTATGATGGGGGCTGCAGTGAGCATGGAGAGAACTGATTAGACAAGGAGTTCCAACTCGGCTTCCTTCAGTCCTCCTCAAGCTCACGTGTGTGTGCGTACACACGAGGCTTTTGGCAACTGTAGGAATACCGACTCTAGGTCAGTTCCGTATCTTGGTCCAAAGGTCCAAGCCTCAGATGCTATTAAGGCTACTTGTCTATTGATGGATTGCCTCTGTCTCCTGGAGTAACTCTCACTTGAGGGAAGATCTGATAATTCTTCAAGAACCCCATCACTCTTCCTCTTTCTTCACAAGACACACTTATTGGCCTTGGCCTTCTAGGATATTTCCTGGGACACATCCCTTTCGTAGACAGCACTATGAAAAGATGATACGATCCTTGTGCAAGAATGCTCTTCATACTGTACGCCATCACAAGTCTTACTTAATAAGAAGCTGTTTTGGTACGATTATACTGAATGGAAGTACTGCTAAAGTGATCCTTATTATTATTTTTAAAGTATCTTCAGAGGGAAAAACAGCAGAGAGGTAAGAGTTAGGAACGTCAAGTCAGGTGATCTTACAATTGACTAGAAAGTCCTTACTTCCTGCTGGTTGTATGAGAACATTGGAGTGGGACAGTGGGTTTTTAAGTATTTTTTAAGCCGTGGAAACCTTTGTGCCAACACTGCCTTGCTTGAGAGCACAGTATGTATAATACAAGGGGGGGAAAAAGGAACTGCTCTGACTGACGCAGGAGAAGTGGCTCAGAACAACCGCTCGCTGAGCTCCTTTTCTCGGAAGGATGATCCTGAGGCAGCTCAGCTGGGCTGGATGTTCTCTTGGGCCTTCCAGGCTCTGAGGTTCTGCATTTCTGCCACGAGCATGTCCACCCTGAACTCCCACTCCTCTCATAGGTGGCCTCCATTCACCTTCTTCTAGTTCCATGGCCTCAGAAGAATGTAAGCACTTCCACCTCTTGCTTAGTTCCATTCCAGTGGTGGAGTCCAGTGAATTACCCAGTCATGTCTGGGGCTATTAGAAGGGCACCAGGCAGACCTGGGTTCAAATCCTGCCTCTGCCACTCTTGCTTGGGAATGATCTTGGCTGCAGTTGACTCATGTGTGAGTGGAAGTCATGATCTCTGGCTCATAGATTTGAGGTGGGGAAAGGCTTCCTGGTACAAGGTAGGTACCTTCTGAGCTCCTGAACGTGTGTGACTTCTCTCCTCTGTGGGGCACCGAGGCCAGGCAGGCCACTCACTCAGCGCCTTGGGTCTTGTCTTGCAGAGATGTCAGGCACGGCAGCGGACATCTCGCTGGTGCACTGGCGGCAGCAGTGGCTGGAGAATGGCACCTTGTACTTCCACGTCTCCATGAGCAGCTCTGGACAGCTGGCCCGGGCCACCGCCCCCACCCTCCAGGAGCCCTCAGAGATCGTAGAGGAGCAGATGCACATTCTCCACATTTCTGTGATGGTGAGTGAGGGGGGGAACTCTGTAGGGAGTTTGGGGGCGTGGTGGGGAGGGCTCGATGGAGAGACTGTGGAAGGAGGCAGGGGATTGCAGCAGGTGGAGGGGAAGGGCTGGCCGAGTGCAAGAGGTTAGAATGATAAACGGAAGATCAGATGGATTCTCTGGTGTCACTCGGACTGATGCATACTCATCCATCATCTGTCAGCTGTGACAAACTAATTGTGCTACAGAGAAGAAAATAAAGGGTCTCCAACTCCTTGGCCTTTTGGCCGACGTCTCTGGGAATAGCTGTTTAACATCTGTCACGTGCTTGGCCGAGGGCTGAGGTTCAGTGCTCCCAAATACAACTGGCCTTTCCAAGGATGACTGAACAAACCAAATTGGAATGGGACTGCCCTTTCCCGAACGCCCTTCACATGCCAGACGCACCCTTCACGACGCCCCTGCCGTGCAGACAGCCCATGGTGGCCTCCGACGCTGGACTGGGCGTGGCCAGCACTACTGCACACGGAAGCCCCTTCTTACCCTCACTGTATAGTTGTGAACACTGAGTCAGAGGGGCAGAGATGCTTCCCCAGGGTCGCGTAGCTAGGAGGAGATGGAGCTGCTCTTGGGTGTTTGAACCCGTCCATGTCTGGCTACAAACACTGAACTCTGTCCTCTACACCCCGTTTCTCTCAGTGCGGGAATTTGCTGACTGTCTACCACATGTCCACACTATGCTGGGCGTGTTCGTGGACATTTTTTCACTGCATTCTCACCAAGAAGTCTGGCGTGTCACCTCCATACTAGGGAGGAAGTTACAGACACAGAGAGATGACGTGACCTTCCACCTCTGTTGGTCCCGTGATCTGGAACTCTCTGAGTCTGCTGCCTCCTCTCGTACAGTCATGTGTGAGAAACACTGGACCCCTTGCATCTGTGGATGACAGAGAAAGCTACAAGGGCGGGAATCCCTTCAACAGTAGTCTAAAATGTAGGTAGGCTCATATTAATGATTTATTTAAAAAGCAAAAAAAATTCACAATGCGGCATGCACAGGGTCTCATGGGCTCAGGAAGAAATCGGATAATAGCTACAGCTGACATCCGTCTAGTGCCTTTTACTCCTTAGCCACTCTTACATTATTTTCTCCTTTAGCAGAGCTCTGCCAGATGTATGAGGGTAGGAAATGCTATTCCCAACCTTTGGGCGAGGAGGGTGCGGCTCAGAGAAGGGAAGGGATTGGCCTAAGGCTACTCAACAAAATAGCCCTATGACCCAGCGCGTCATTCCTTCCTCCCATTCAGTAGTTGACAGTATGTATCAGAGCCTACGGTGGAGCAGATCTTGGCTTTTGATCTCTGTTCTCCTGGTCCCTCTTCAACCTGCGCTGTGCATCAGACATTCCGATGAGGGATAAGTGCCTGGAAGTTTTCTCTTTTTGGAAAAACACACACATACCCCAGCCAGACAGCCACGTTAAATTTGGACCTAACGCATGCTCATCACGTGGAGGAACAAATCAAGGCCTTTGTGTTATTCGTGGAATGAGTGTGATAGACTTTTCCCATTTTTATATTTAGTGACTGATGCAGCCACACACCAAGCCAAATGGGTGCCTGCATGCTAACTTTGGGTTGCAAGTTTGTAAGCACCATTTCAGGGTACTCACTGAGTTCCTCATGGGGCTTGGGGCACCATCTGGTGTTAAGAAGGCTTGACAGGGAGTGACTGTTCTTCTTTTAATGTTTGAGAGTAAGACTCGTTTTCAGCTAATATTTATTAAGGCTTTTCTGTGTTTCAGCACAGCATTTATTTTCATACGTCCTTCCCGCAACCCAGTGATAGTGTTATCTCAATGAGAAACGAGTCTCGTGTGGGCTTCTCTGCTTCCAGGCCCAGGGTTAGTTCCACTTAATCAGATAATCTCCCAAAACTGTAGGTGTTCCTCACTTTTTCCTACTTGGTGAGTTTAGCTTGGAAAGAGAACTCCCTAAGACCCAGATGTCTCTCAAATTCCGTGTAATTCAGGACACGGCTAATAGAGTAGGTCAGGCAGAGGTTGGCACTCTCCAGACCCCCCCTGCCCACAAACTGGAGTGGCCCAAGGCTACCACCTTGTGGTCCCACCAGGTCTTTCCCCATTCATGCTCCAAAATCTTGACCGTTCTTGTCCTCAGGAGACAGTCCTGTCTGAGAAACACGGGACCCCTTGCATCCGTGGATGACAGACCAGCCTCTCAGGAGTGGGCTCAGAGAACACTGCCCTCTGTGTAGAGGTGGGATGGCATGGAGCCTATAAGCATAGATACCCGAGCCCGAGTTCCTGGGTGTAAAGTTCCACTCTGCCACTTAGCACTCTGGCGATGTTGGGCAAAGTTTTGAACCCCCTCTATGACATGTTTTGTCATCTATAAAATGAAAGTTATACTCAAACTTACTGTGTATCAGAGGAGCTTGGCATATACGGGCCTTAGCTTTTATTATTAGGGACAGTTTTATTATGGAGACGTGCTGTTGTGTTATACCTTTCACAGATGGATAAGCTGAGGTCCAGATACACATTAGGACTTGTTCAGGGTTCCCCAGCCAGTCAGTGGGACTTGGCCTGGAGGACAGGCCTCTCTGGGGCTCAGTCTCTGTCCTGGCCACTCTGGCCACAGATAATTCAGCAAGAACTAAAAGAGTGTTTGCTTCCCACCACAACTTCACTTTCCCAATCTTTAAAAAAAAACATTAATATTTTAATTTTTAAAATCTCAAATGTTTAAAATGGTATTCACGGTGGCTAGGATCTGCCTCCCCATTTCCCAGATGAAAAACTGAGACTCAGTGAGTTTACCTGACTTGCCTGAGGCCGCACGGCTAACAAAGAAGGCACTTTCTGGGATGAGGCTTTCCCCAAGATTCCAAATTCATGTCACATGGCCACTCAAGACACCATGGCTCTCACCCTGTCAAATTTTGCATTGTTTTCATTTTTGATGAAGATCTGGGATGGTTTGGGAAAAGACAAAATCATCCAGTCAAATCTCAAAGAAATCTGGAGGTCAGGGTCAATATTTTCCATCCACTTTCTCAGCATAAATGTCCTGCCCACCCACGCAAGGCAGCCAGCGCCGGCTCAGTCACCCGAACCTGCTACAGTCTGTGCCTGCTGGAGTGGAACCAGCATGCTCTTCCGGGCTTGTTAAGTCCTGAGCTGAGCAGCTACTTTATCCCAGAAGGTTGCATCATCTGACTATTAATATCCCAGGGGTCCTGCGACAAAGAGATACTCAGTGAACCCCTGGGCAGAGAAAGAGAGCAGACGGTCATTCATCTAGTCTGTGGCCCCAGCTTCAGCTCCTCTGAGCAGTCACATGCCTGCCTCCGCCATGCAGGTGGCTCAGTGGATGCAGAGAGAAGAGCAGAGGTTTGGAATGCACAGTCCTTCTTGCTTCCGGCTTCCTGATGGTTTTACTCTGGGGAGTCCCATCACCTCTTTGAGCCTCAGTTTCTTTATCTGTGAAACAGCTGATTGTACCAGTCTCACAGTGTTATGGAGAAGAGTGAAAGAAACATAAAACATAGAACCTAGTACCTGGTCTGGCACATCTTGAGCACACAGTAACAGTGGCTATTACTGATGCAGTGGTGTTAAAAGGACTCTCCGGCAGGAGTAAGGCGACGTGGAGTTTAGTCTTACTTTTGCTGCTATCTTGCTATCTGATCTAGAGAAGTATTCATAATACCTGACATTTATTGAGTATTCACTACATGCCAGGTAGTGTTCCAGCTGTTGTTTTACATGCAATGTTAAATTTAAGCCTGACAACAGATCTTAAAGCGGATACCATTGTTATGTTTATTTCATAGATGTGGAACCCGAGATGTTAATGATATCAATAGCTATCCATGTGAGTGGGTCAAGGTTAAGTGGTAAAACCAGTATTTCACTCTGTATAGGCTGACTCCAGATCTTCCATCTTTAATCTGTATTATAGACCACCATTTCTCTTCTCCCTGTAAGTTGCTGCCTTAAATTATAAGATATTATGGACAAATTTATACAAAGATTCCCTCCTTATATGGAATCTATGGGCAGATTAAGGAGGGGTGGGTTATGACTTGGGAGTCAACTCCAAGGTTAAACAATATCTCTGTTGCTGGCTCTATGACCTTGGCCAAATCAACCTCACAGTCTGTAAAATGGGGGTAATATTTCCTAATTCTTAGATTTCTTTTTGAAGTACTAAATGAGGGTTCACACGCAAGGGTCCTTCATAATGAAAGTAGTGGCTACCATCCCCGGGTGAGGGCTGTGTGTATGCCAGGCACAGTCTAGGGGCAGCACATACATCATTCCGTTCAGCTGTTCTGATCCCTCTGTAAGATACGTCCTGCTGCTGTCCCTCAGTCACAGATGAGGAACCTGGGAGGTAGTGAGATTTTGTGATCTGCTGAAGTTCACACCACCGATGCATCCCAAAGCTGAGCTTCCACCTCCGGTCTGCACAGATTTCGAGTCTTTGCTCTTGGGCATGATTCTGCATGGTACAGTGTCTGAGATTCAGTAAGAGCTCAGAAAGTGGTAGCTGTTATTAAAATGTTAGCTGTAATGACAACAGTGACAAATGTTGTTGTTAAGTTGTTTTGGGAAAGGGGATGAAAGGGAATGTTTGATTTGATGTATGAGAAGAGAAGGCCGTTGAGGACATGTTTCTTTCAAAAGGGACCATCCCACAGAAAATGCCAGGGATTTCAACCGGTGGGTCCCAGCGAGTGGGGAGGGGTTACAAAAGACCGACCTTTCCCACTGTTTGAGCTCTCCAGCCATTGGGGGGAACTGAGTCAGAGGGTAGTGAGTTCCTTGTCTCTGGGAGTATGCAAGCAAAGGCCAGAAGCCCTCTTCATCAGGATTTGGAGAGAAATAATAGTGACATTAGATGACTATTGTAGTTCCTTCAAACTTAAAAGATCTATGATTCTGTGGCATAATAATATATAGAAAAATACTTTGAGGATTATGAACTGCCACA